CCAAGACTATTTTATAGGAGCTACCCCTGGAAATAGAATGGTTTAACTTCACACTGTTCCATGTAGACAAAACCTAAGGGCCTATCTGCCTTAGGGGGGTTTATGCTGCTTTATACTGCTGTAGGACATTATTGTCACTAGTAACATCATGAGTATGAATGCCAGTGTAAAAATTCTTAATGCACACAGGCCTAATTTCAGCCTCTCTGAAACGAGGCTGGTTGGTTATGAAATCTCTCTGGCAATTTCTGGGTGGTCTCTTGTAAACTGCCCTGGGGCACAGATCTCTCACCCTGTCTCTTCCCTTCAGGTCTTCCTGGTGCTGATGATTGCATCGTTCTTCCTCGCTGTTGCCTGTGGAATCTGGGCTGAGAAGTTCCGGCAGGATCATAGCTATCTCTCGACTTTCTATGCCAAGACAAGCCCTATCAAGCAGGCCTTCTTCACCTTCTGGGGGTTCATGATCTTGCTGAGCATCATCATACCTATGTCCATGTATATCACGTAAGAGCAGCAGAATAGAGTTTATGATGCTTGTACGTTGTTGCAGTCTCTTTACTCCTTCTTCCTGTGGAATGACTTTTTGTCATCCAGAGCTCGAGAGAGCACGTGTATCTGGCATTTAGAGCTGAAGACTGAAAGTCTGAAGTCCTGGGTTCAGTTCCCATACCTGGCCCTGTCCTGCTGTGACTTTGAGCACAACACTTTTATGTGTGCCCCTGTTTTCTTATCTGTCAAAGATGGGTGATATTTATATAGCTCGGTGGGTGGGTTGTGTTGCTTAAATCCATTAGTTTCAATAATTTGGCTTTGAGGTCCTCAGACAAAAGTTACTGGTGAAGTGCAAATGCTGCTGTTTGGATTTTGGGGTAGGTTCATGAAGATGGACTGATGATGGCAAAGGATACAGCAGGGTGGCCAAGAGGAGGACCGTTAGCCAAAATCTAATTAATATTCAGCACGTTATCTATTCATAGCACTTCATAGAAATCAGTTACTAGGTTCTGCCCTGACATGAGATCAATATCTTATTCACACTAAACCGAATAGGACATAGGGATATAGGTTGTTTAGGAATACAAACCAGGATCAATACCCAGATGACTGCTCTAAACCTTCTTGGAGACTGGAGGCTTTGTAGTGTCCTACCTTGGCTATCATTTGCACATAAACTCCCTCTGGAGAACTCTGAGAGAGGTAGTTCCAGCCTGTCCAGTAGGGATGACTGGAAGTCTCTTGATTACATGCGGGTTTGAGAGTCTCATCCAGCTGTGAAGACCACTGGATTAGGTTAGTATGAATCAGTTCTGGGTCCCTACCTGAACCTCCAGACCTTTGAATATCATTGTTAAGGACCAGGTTTTCCAAAAAACCTCAGGCCAAATATTTGGTACCTCCTGTTGGTGCTCTGCACCCTACATCCATTCAGCTCAGTGTGCTGAGCTGTCTTGGAAAGCTGCCTCTTCTTGACCTGCACTTTATCTGTGTCCAGAAAGTTCAGAGCCTTAGAACAAAGAGAGCTGGGGAGATTTGCTCCTCTTTTCTCTATGCCAGTGGCAGATCCCTCGCCTCTGTGGCTAAAATAATTTTCCTGTCCTGTTGTGTCTCTCCCTCCTGGGTCCCTAGGCTTGAATTCATCTATCTCGTGAATAGCTTTTTTATTGACTGGGATGTGGAGATGTATTACCCTGCTAAAGATACTCCAGCGAAAGCCAGGAGCACTAGCCTCAATGACCAGCTCGGCCAGATTGAATACATCTTCTCAGACAAAACAGGCACCTTGACGCAGAACATTATGACGTTCAAGAAATGCTGCATCAATGGGATCATCTATGGTAACCGTATCAGAAGCGAGTTTCTTTGAATTTGAATGAGGCTGACTTTGTGCTTATAGCATGCTTGTGTACTGCAGGATACTGGGTTCTGTTCCTTATTCTGCTACCACTTGCCATACAACCAGGGATGTGTTGTTTAATCTAATTAATAAATAAGAAAGTGCTTTGTGGTCCTTACCAGTTGTTATAGGTGCTGTTCTAGAAATACCATTATTCCATGTATTGTTAGGAAGCTGTTTTGCTGGAACCTCAGCTTCTCATGCTGGAGGGTGGAGACAGGGTGGTGAAGCGGTCTTGCTATGACCCTAAGGGTGTGAGGTTGAGCTCTGTCAATGCTACCCCAGCTGACCCAGCTAGTTGGTTGTGGACATATTGGTCACTTTGGGCAGCCTTGGCTTGATCTCCCACTAAAAATATTCATTTCCAACTCTTAATTAAATATATATATTTTTTACTATTTTGGCAGGTCCAGGCACTGGCCGCAAACGAAGACTGTTGGTGAGTAATTATCTCAGCTCATCTGCTGGAAGCATAGAACAGGACCCTGCTCCCATCTGAGGGCAGAGGCTAAGGCTTCTTGAGTACTGTGGGAGCAGAGTCAAACCTTTATTTTGTCGCATGTCATTTATACAGTGCTGGTAATGCTTTACACAGGTGGGGATGAGAACACAAGTCATCAGCTGATTCTCATTGGCTTTGTGTGAAGTAATTTATACTGGTGTGCCATGGATATGAAATGGTAGCACACCTACTTTGTACTCACTTGGCAAAGACAATGGAGAATTAGGCTCATGGTATAAATCTATTAAAATCCAGCTTGTAAGAAGAGTAGATTCCGGTCTTCAAAATTGCACTGGTTTAGCTGAAGGTATAACAAGCTAAGCTAGTGCAACATTGTGTATGGAGTCATCCCTGGGTTCAAACCCAGCCTTCATTTTCTCCGCTCAGTAGTAAACATCATGAAGCATTTACATACACAGTTGCATTAATTTAACTATGTTGGCTTAGTTTTGTACCTTCAGAGTTGCAACTTCTGTGTGTGGAGCAGTTGTCAGGCTCCAGAATCCCAAGCTTGAGTCCTTAATGTCTCTGTGCATTAGGGACACTATGTACAACAACACATGGCAGAGCTTACTTCTCTCCCTGCCCTCTGCCCCCATGGCAGGATCAGGTACTCCATACTGTGCTGACTGTCTGGGTGTTACAGCCTGATTGTCACCTTCTAGGTTGCAGCTGTCAGTCATAGCAAAATGGGAATCAGATTCTACCAAGACAGAAAAAAATAATATTTTTATATCACCCCTACACTTGTGTAAGTGGTGACAATGTGCAGGTGACTGGAGAATGCATCTATCACCAGTAATTACCTCCTCAATAATATCATTGGACTAGCATCAGCATAGTGCTTTATATTAAGGTTCCTTTTATTAAAAGGCATGTTACATGTTACAAGCAAGAGTAGTATTAGGAGTAATAGATTGTTTTAAGCCCTGGTTATAAGCAACCTATTTATCTGTTGGAGTCTAAAACAATTGATTAGCCATTTATTAAAATGTGTATTAATAATTTATTAAAAGCTATTTATAATGGACTCTTAATATAAAAAGAAGTGCTGGTCAAACACGGACTTAGAAGGTTCCATTATACAGAGAAACTGATGGTAGGATAGGAGACAAAGAAGTAAGGGAAAAAGGAACCAATGTAGATTCCCCTTCCATGGGAAGGGGCTCCCTGTGGTGCTGAGATATGTTGAGTAAGTGATCATGCCATGTTGGTGTTAGACCCCGACTCCATGCAGCACCCAATGACTAGGGAGATGACGATCCAATTGCTCATGGATCCTGTTACTCATTAGCCAGAGCAAGCAGGGAGCAAACGCTACTTGCACACATTGCTCACAACAGCTTTAATGCAGAATGGAGACAGCTTTGGACAAGGGTCCCAAAAAAACAGCAAACCAGGGACCTGCACTGAACAATAGTTTTCTCTCACATTTATACACTTTGATTTATGCTCATTACCATTCATTCCACCTCTGTCCCTCCTTTTGTTCCACCCATTTTTCCTCCCATCTCAAGTTCCACCTCTGTTTACTGTTTGCTTCATTGGCATGGAATTGCCTACGCATTTCATTCATTTACATGCCTTTCTGCTAAGAGCACATGTCTAAGACCTTGACTTCTCTTCTTTAGTCAATGGGTGGAATTTGACCAAAACCTGAAAGCTTCTGGAGGCTTCTTCACCAATCACCATTCACCTTTTTGCATATGTTCATCTCAGATTCTGTTACCAATTACATGTTGTTTTCCACATTCCAGTCTGTTTTTCTGTCTCAGGTTGTACCATCTCCACCTTTTTGGGCCCCTGTATCTTATCTTATTCCTCACTGTAGCTGGTTTACAGCGCACAGACTTATTTGCTGCTTTTTCCAGAAAAATGGTTAACACAATTAACGTGGTTACTTAACATAAGCACTCATAAGCAAAATCTTATATATAAAAGCTATATATACTATTATATATATACTAAATACTATTATATGGTCAAAAAACTACTTGCCTAAGCATTCACAATTACTTTTAATATATGTATCATTCTGCCTTGTAGTCAGCAGCTTTGCTGAGACACAGATTAAAGCTGCAGGTCCAATGCTCCCCAAAAATCCACAGTGTTACCTTAACAGTTGGGTTTGGTTTCTCACTCCTATTAATGCAGAGATCAATGCCTCTTACAGGATGAAAGTTTGAGCTGGAACCCATATGCAGACAAGAATCTGGAGTTTTACAACCCTTTGCTTCTGGAAGCTGTCCGGAGGGATGATGACCCTGTTGTGAGAGAGTTCCTGAGGCTGCTGGCCATTTGCCACACGGTCATGGTGGAGGAGAAAGACAGTGAGTTGGTTAAGAAATTGTCTGGCCTCCATCCATTGCTGGGAAAGGCTGTGTTTTTCTGATGTGTATGAAGGGTTGTCTGTCTGGGGCTGGAAGCTGCCCCATTTGCACAGAAGTCAAGGCCCAGATCAGGGAGATGAATTGGTCCAAGCACCTTGTGTGGTCCAGTACCTCAGGTTGGTGTAAATGCTGGCAGTGGTGCAAATGAGAAGTGCAATGTCAGTTATTGCTGCACCCACTGCTGCTTTGCACTCACTTGGTATTAGCCTAAATGACAATGCTAAGTGCAAAGCTCAATGAAACTCTTTGATCTCACCATAGCTCCATTCCCCCTCCCCCCGCCCCATCAAACCCTCTAGGGATTAGGAAGGGCCATCAAGGACATGGTTCTAGCCTCCAGAGTCTTTGCATAAGGCTCCAGCTTTAGGTAGGGAAGTTGAGGGGCTCCTCTGACTTACCCCTGTGGCGAATTGGTATAGTGGAGCTCTCTTCAGCCTTGCCTCCTTATACCTCCCTCCCCAGAAACACCCCTTGTACCGTTGGAGAACTATTGACACCAACAGAGATCCTGTGAGAGAGGAATGTTCTGCTGGACATCACAATGTTCTGCTGGGCCATTAACTCCATTGAAGTGTGTCAGACTAGATGAACAGTTTAAGGAGAGGACAAAGGATAAGACTGCCAACTTGCAGCAGGACTGTCCTTTCCAAATAGGCAGGGTCAGTCCATGGCCTTCCATCAAAACCTGAATTAAATGGGTTCAGTAGGAGCCTTTGGATCTATCAGCCCACACACTCTAAAGGGCAGGGTGTTCTAGTTAAAGTGCCACCCACAAGTTGAGCTGACACTATTCTGCTTGGTGTCCCCTGAGCAGTGGTCAGGTGTTTTTTCTTATTGCTATGTGCTGGAAGGGCCTGATATACTGGTAGTGACAAATGATATGCATAACACCAAGCTTTCTGCCCTGCCAGGTACACTGCAGATGCAAGGAAATGGAGTTAGACTGCATGCATGGCAACAGGCACTGGCTTTAGCTCAGTTGGGTGTGTCATCCTGGGGATGACTTGGTGGATTTGTGGATAGGCTGGATCATGATGTTTCTTTAGGATTCATATACATCACATTGGGCATTTATACACATGCGGTGCGGGGGTGGTTCAATTAGAGCAGCTTCAAGAGCCACTCTAATTAGAGAGGCCAGAGTGTCTTATGTATTTGCCCATCAAATGAGCTTTAGTTAAACCAGCAGACTCAATTAATTGAATCTGCTCTGATATGCTGTAATTACAGTGCATCAGAGTAGCCTCACTGCTCGTGTGCAGGTGCCCATTGTACTGGTAGGTCGATACTGTCCCTGCTTTACGGATGGGGAAACTGCGGCACAGAGAAGGGAAGTGGCTTATGGCTAAGCATGAATTCAGTAGTGTTCTCCTGCTCTAACGACTAATACATACTCCCTGTCAGACCTTGGAATAGAGCCCAGGGGTTCTGTCTTCCACCCTTCTCCTGTCTCCAGAAATGTCACATGTGATAGACACCCTCCCTGTGGATGAGAGGTCCCAAGGGGAATGCTGCCTTACGTGTGAGGGAGGTTTATTAAGAAACCTGGGCTTTGCTATAATGCCAGAGGGGCTTAGCCTATGCTCGTCTGATTGCTACAGACCAGAGATAAACATCAAAAACACTGAAAACACCCCATCTGCATGCACGTATGCACACGTGTAAATGCTCATGCACTCTCACACTCACATACACACAACTGATGCCCAGCAAAGTACAACAGGAGGAAGAGCCACCCTGAGATTGGAGGCATCTGTGAAAATCAGTACTTTCAGTGCACTAACCTGAGTCCTAATCCTAACCCTAATGACATAATTAAGCAAAGGCATGGTTTGATCTCCAGGGTATCAGAGGGGAGCTAGGTGATCTCGCCTTGCCAGGTGAGGTCCTGCTACCATGCTAAGCACTTGATGCTAAGAAGGAAAAAAAAGCTTTGCTTAAGACAAGTAGAACCCCCAGCCCGTCCTCTTTTTCTGATGAGCCTGGCTGCTGCCACTTCTCTGCTGTGTTTGGCACAGGGGTGAAAGGCACAGTCCACTTCTGCACCAGGAATTGCCCTGGTACCAGCCATATTCACAGTAGTATCTTTCATGGTTACAGTTTCTCTGTTCAAAGGGCTGTACAGCTGTACTTCTCTCCCAGATCTGAACGTAGAACCCAGGAGTCCTGCTTTTCTCCATCTGCAAACTGATGCCAATCACTTTAGCACAGCGGTTTTACATTGGTGCACCTACTCCGATGGCAACATTAGTGGCTTAAAGCCTCGTGTAGAGAGGACCAAGAGGCTTTCAAGGGTTTTGCAGAACAGCAGAAGGAGCAAATTTGGGCTAGGACAGGGAGCCCAGTTTGTGACATGCTGTACACATGATTCACAGGATTAACTAAGCATGTACTATAATGTTTATTTAAAAATATTCCACTGAGAAGCAAAGGTGCTGAGCATAAGTGTCTTTATTCTTCTGAGGAACCCAAGCAGGTGGTTGCACACTGGCAGGGTGATAAGTGGTTCAGCTGAGACTAAGTTTCAAGACTCTTTGGTTGTGGATGGGGTTAAAGCAGATGTTACTCTGCTCTTTGAGCAAACAAGAGTAGCTTCATCTGTCTTTACTCCATTTCCATCTCCTTTCCCAGGCCAGCTAGTTTATCAGGCCGCTTCCCCGGATGAAGAGGCCCTGGTGATGGCTGCCCGGAACCTCGGGTATGTCTTCCTCTCCCGGACACAAGACACCATCACCGTTAGTGAGCTGGGGGTGAAGAGGACCTACCAAGTGCTGGCTATGCTGGACTTCAATAGCGTCCGCAAGAGGATGTCAATACTGGGTGAGCAGAGATGGGGCTGAAACAGACCCTGGCATGGGCAAATTAATTGCTGGTTGAGGACAGCATCCCTGACACATTAGTGCACACAAAGCCATGGTGGTCTTTACGAGTTAGTTGTGTTGCCAGCCAACATTGCACTGGTGCGAATAGATTCATAAGGTTCAGGTGCAACTGGCAATCAGCCCCAGAAGTCTCTGTTTGCTTTTCTGATTGCTTCTGACATCTTAACGCAAACCTGGCCCTCTAAGGGCTGAGAGGGCCAGAAATGGGCTGCACCAGTGAGGGGGTGGGCAGGTGGAGGAGGAAGACTTGGGAGTTCTGGAGGGGCATGGTAGTCTCTGAGGCCTGATCCTCCGCTCACTCAGCCTGGTCTAGATCAGGAGTGACTCTAGTGAAGTCCCTGCATTTCCAGTGGTGCAAATGATGTCGCAGTCTAGTCCCCTGAAGAAAGCACTAGTTGCTCCCAAGCCTTCTACATTATCTGCAGCTCCCTCAGTTGCAGGGGAGGCACGTGGGGATGAATAGCACTCTGGCTAAGCAGGCCTGCTTCCCACAGTGCGGGATCCCAACGGGAAGATCCGATTGTACTCGAAGGGGGCAGACATGGTGATCCTGACAAGACTGCATGAGAATGGAGCCAATGAGAAGATCACTGAGAAGGCGCTTGATGTGAGTCCCAGATGAGCCCTTGGGTGGGCAAGGCTGGCAGCAACTGTTGCTGTACCTGTCTGTTTCTGTGTGACCTGATTTGGCTTGATCTTCCCCTCCCTGTGGCACCCCAGTTTTGATGCAGCCAACGTGGCCTAGGCATGGGATCCTACTTCCCTAGAGCTGGATCCTGGTTCACCCTGAGCAGCTACTGCACCCTCCCCCTGCCCCAGGGGGTAAAAGGAAATGAAGAACTGCATGGGGTACTTGCATCAAAAGGAGGCATGCGCCTTCCTTGTACACCTTCAGGGGGAATGTAGGAGGTCAGTGCTTGGGACAGAGACGGGAGGTGCTGTCGGCTAACTAACCTCTGTGCTGTCCCCCTCTGCAGAGCTTTGCGGAAGAGACTTTAAGGACGCTGTGTTTGGCCAGCAAGGAGGTGAAGGAGAAGGACTACACTGAATGGAGCAAGAAGCACCGTAAGGCCAGTATCATGCTGGAGAACCGTGCTCAAGAGCTGGACAAGGTGTATGAGGAGATTGAGAAGGATCTCAAGGTAGGATCAGGGTTACTGAGGCTTGGGAACTCAGCAGAGGGCTAATATGGACATGGGTAGAGAGGGGGTCTGTGACTGGGTCAGAGCCACAAGGCCAGATAACACGGCTGGTGCAGAGTCTTGCCCTGGAGTGACTACGTGAATGTCTGGTGCTGCAGCTTGGCGCAGTGATACCAGCACAGGGCTGGGACATAAAAGTGTCTGGTGAACTGCTGCCTATCCCTAATCTGCTGAGAGTGCCCACAAAGAGGCCAGTTGGCATGGTTGGTCATGTGACTTGGACATGTGCCCACTGGGGATTGAGCTGAGAACTCACCAACTCATATCATGTTGGGGCCCCTGGCTGACAATGAGGTGGGAATCACTTTCAGCTGCTGCCCACTTGGCCTGGAGCCCAAAGGACCAGCAAGCAGAATAGTGACAAGACAGCACTGCTGGGTGGATGGATCAGGGTGCAAGCCCCATCCTTGGATACCAGTCTCTTTCCCACCCTGCCCTGCCTTCTGCCATGCTGGCTGCTCAGGTCCATCTACTCTCCTTGTTCTTCAGCTACTTGGAGCCACAGCCATTGAAGATAAATTACAAGATGGGGTCCCTGAGACCATCCAGCTGCTAAAAAAAGGCAACATTAAGGTGTGGGTGCTGACCGGAGATAAGCAAGGTACAGTGTATGTAGCCCAAGGGCTCTCATCCATGCAAAGCTCTGGATTCCTCTCAGGATAAAACCCTTTGTCTATCTGGGACCAGAGAAGAATGGACCTTAGCCTGCAAGGGAGGAGACTGGGGTCTCCCCACTGAATCTCTTTAGTTTTGCTGGTCTCTTTGTAGTTCAGTAGTACTGAGCACTTTGCAGAAAGGAAGGGAGGGAATCATTGGCTTTTAATTTTACAAATGGGGAAACTGAGGCAGGGGAAGCAACCTGCCCAATATTATACAGCACATCAGTGACCACAGCTAGACCAGGACCCTTGTTTCAAGCCACTGCTCCTCATGAGGTGCGCACTGGCCCGTACTAGGTCTCTGGGCAGCAGGGACTAGACATGAGTTGAGACAGTTATGGTCTGGAAGGCATTGACCCAGTCACTTGGGCAGTCCAGCTGAAGTGTCCGCTTCATGATACCTGTTGCAGAGACGGCGATGAACATTGGCTTTGCATGCCGGCTGCTCTCAGATGACATGCTGATCCTGGAGGAGGAGGAGATCAGGTGCGGGGCAGATGCGCGGGTTTCTTTCTTGCTCATAGTGACTGATCAGATGGGGCAGGTGAGAGGCATCAGTGTTTTTTGACACACAAGCAAAAACAAGCTGGGCAACTTGGCTGGACATAGTTCTGCCAGGGGGGCCTTTCCCTGCCCTCCCAGCCCTGGGCCTCCCTGACCCACCTCCTCATGCTCCTCAATCTGGACCCGTGCTCCTGTTCCTTTAGCTTTGCTTTGCCCCTACTCAGTCCCAAACCTCAGCTGCTGCTACTCCAAGCCTTGGGCTTTCCCTGTGCTCACCACTGCCCTGCTATTCAGCCCTCACCTACAGCCTTTCTTCCTCTACAGAACATGACCAAGGACAGCAACAGGCTATTAAACCTAAAGCCCTCCAGACAGCCCGCCTCAGTGGGACCCTCTCCTTGGCAATTGAGTCCTGTGTTGGTCTCTTCCACTGAGAGCACCAAGCAGGCTAATTCTGGAGAAGTAGGCACCATGCTCCTTGAAACTACAGCTATTGCCTCCCTTCCCACTTCATGGCACAATAGTAACTGCCAGTTTCTTCCCCATGCTGCTGGCTTTGAGCTGCGGGCTTAGCATGTGTAATCACAACACCTGCTCCATGTGATGGCTTGTCTTTGCTCCCTGCTCCATCATGCTCTTCTTGCACAGTGAGATGCTCAGTGCCTACTGGGTGAGCAACAACAACCTCAGCAGCAGTGGGGAACCCCTGTGTAGTGCCAGCTTTGTCCAGCAGCCACTGGATACCTTTCGTCGTGGGAACACAGCCTTAATCATCACTGGGGATTTTCTGGTAAGGCAGTTCTTAGCCTCCCCCTCCTCTCCTCTGCATAGAGGGAACCTGGGTAAGAGCTGAGACTCCAGACTAGGGGTCCTGGTACTCAGTGCTTTGCCTTAACCACATAATTATCCTTCCCTTCCCAGTCAGTCAAGTGGCATTGGTCTGGGATGGAAGGTTAAAGCTTCCTGTCCCTGCCTTTCTCCTGGTGAGTCATTAGTCTGAGGTCTTCTCCTGTACCTCTGCTCTCCCTGAAGGATAAAATCCTCCGCACAGGGGAGGTGGTGAAGAAGAAGAAGGAAAACTTCTGGAAGAGGATGCTGTGCTGCAAAGTGGAGGTGCAACAGGAGCAGGAGAGCTTGTTGGAGAAAGCCTTCATGAACCTGGCCACCAGCTGCCAGGCAGTGATCTGCTGCAGGGTCACCCCCAAACAGAAATCCCTCATTGTGCAGCTGGTGAAGAAGCACAAGAATGCCATCACACTGGCCATCGGGGATGGAGCCAACGACGTCAACATGATCAAAAGTGAGGCTTAGTGTGAGGGAAGGGGATTTTATGAGCTGAAAGAGTGATGTGCACGCATAAGGTAAACCTCCTCCGTATTGGGTCCTGCCATCTCCTTTAGCCTCTGCAACAAACTTTTGCTTGGGTCACAGCAGGGCTAGAGCCTGCAGTCTTCTATAACCTAGCACAGACTGCTGCCACTGAGGCCAAAGGTGAATTCTGGTGGCCGGTTGCAGTAGGAAACTGTTACCCTTTGATAGACCAACCATCACACTAACACTGTTACACACTAGCAAGAGAGAGGGGCTGCACATTTGCTTCTTAGTATGTGATACCTCTGTGGTGAATCTGTCACCTCTCCAGGGGACTGGCCTTCCCTCTTTGTTGCCTTTTATTCCTCACCTCTAAGTCTTGGAACAGACCCATATAAGATAGAACACCTAGTTTAGAGGTGGCCAGCCACCAGTGGCATAGGCAGCTTTTGTGTGTGGCATGCATCAGATCAGGGAGGGGACAGGCAGCACAATGGCAGATAGGAGAGGGAGCAGAGTGGCAGATTGGACAGAGAGCACAGGGCAAGGAGCAGAAAGCAGAACAGGGCAGGCAGGGGGACGGGATCAAAGTGGCACTTGGGGAGGGTCCAGGGATAATTTGTGGCATGCCTGCCAAAAGGTTGCTGATGTCATCAAATCCTGCGTGAGCTGGCCCAAAGTCACCCTGGCTTGTTTTGATGTTCCTCCACGAGACCCATACTTCCTCTGCTCTCTCCCTTCCCTCAGCCGCTGACATTGGGGTAGGCATTAGTGGGCAGGAGGGGATGCAAGCTGTCCAGTGCAGTGACTACGCCTTGGCGCAGTTCCGCTTCCTGCAGCGGCTCCTGCTCGTTCATGGCCGCTGGTCCTACCTGCGCGTCTGCAAGTTCCTCCGCTACTTCTTCTACAAGACCTTCTCTGGCTTGATGTCGCAGATCTGGTTTGCTTTCTACAATGGCTTTACGGCCCAGGTAAATCTGTCAGTGTCGCGTCCTAATAACTGCCACGGTTTCCTGTGTCCCTGCCCTCTTAACACACTGCCCAATGTCTGGTGCTGTCCAGCTTTGATGTAGCAGGACACTTGCATGTTATCGCTGGGGTGGGTTACCCCTGCTTCCATCTTAGGGGAGGCTAGACTGAAACCTGGAAGGCAATTGTTTGAGCATCCATCAAGGGTAGTTGAGGGTAACAGCTCCGGTTTATATGGGAGCAGTGAAAAAGACCATCTGGGTAAAAGCTGCTGTGTAAAAGGCAGGGGACTTCCCCTCAGTCCTTTCCAGATGGGCACAGGTTATGCCCAGGGGCTTTGGGTAGTTTTGTAGCCCTGCAATGTGTTGCAGCAGCCATTTCACACTAGAAGTTTTCAAGGGGAATCTCAGTTGTATTGAAAAACAATACAAGGTTTTCTCCAGTATCTTGAGCTTTTGCGGGGCTCACCATAGGGAGACCCAAGCTACAGTGGCCCCTCTCTGCAAAAGCAATTATGGGTTCTGCTTGGCAACACCTTACAGTGCTTAGATTTTCAGATAGGACTGAGCACTCTGCCTGTGAAACTCAGGCTCCTTTAAGGGGTTTCAATGTGGACACTCAGAGTCATGAGTCATCTTTGAAACACCTTGAGTTAATTTTCACCCTCTCATGAAAATAAGGAGAAACCTTCCAAATTTCAGCAAGGGCTGCTTCTTGCAGCCACATCTGTCTGAGTCTGCAGAGAGCTTAAAACAAGAGCTCTGAACATGAATTTCACCATGTATTGCCTCTGAAACCTAACAATTACTGTTTACGTGCCAACATTATTCATTTTGATCCAGATAAGGTATTTTTCCCACAAAACCAAACTGTTTCTTAAACTTTTCCAGGTACCAGAACTACCATCTCCCCACTGCTGGCTTGTACAAGGCAGTTCTGCTTTTTGTGGGGGGGAAAAAGTCTGCGGCAAACTGGAAATTAAAAATGTAGAAACAGTATGAAATAAACAGAAACCAATATTGAATCAAAGAACCCAGGGGCTGCTGGTCCTGCTGCCTCCACCGTTTAATGGTTTCGATGATTAAAAGCCTGTGGTTTTAATGGATCTGTGGCTGGTTCAGAGCCTGCAGGGCTGCAGGCACTCTTGGTCTGATCCAGAGTCCACTGACACTTGGCATGGATTTCACTGGGCATTAGATCAGATCCTTTTCAATCCATCTTACTGTGCCCTGCTTGCACCCCTCTTTTAGTTTTTTCAAAGCATCCGTCTGCTTATATCTACATTACATTGACCGTTTTCCCTTTCTCCTCCCCCCTTTAGCCTTTGTATGAGGGATGGTTCCTTGCACTCTACAACGTGTTCTACACTGCCTACCCTGTGCTCTCCATGGGACTGCTGGAACAGGTAAAGTGCCCCTCTCTCCCTATGCATGGGTAGGGACAACCCTGTAGCTTGCCCGCAGGGCTCAGAAGGCATTTATCTTGCTTGTGGTTTGCATTGAATGGATGAGTTTGCTGCAGGGCCAGATTCTTAGCCAAGGTGAATCGACATCACTACCTCTTGAGTTCAACAAAGCTATTTTGCTTTGCACTAGCTGGGAACATTCAACCTGACTTTATCTGGTCATGTTAAAAATACCTGTATTTTTTGTCTTTCCACACCTAGTGCTCTGCTATACCAAACTGGCCCCAACAGCCTCTGCCGATTATATCCCAGAGATTCACAGCAGCAGCATACTTCGGGACAGGCGTTATAGGACACTGTTAGGACATAAAGGGAATTGTGGGATCGAGTTCCCAGCACACCCCGCCCCCTTTATTGGGAACTCCCATATAATTCCCCAGGATATATTTCACAGAAGGGCTATCGGAGGGTGAGAGGGCCTAGTTATCTCTTTAATTTTTTTAAACATGTTTTACAATATTTCCTATTTGAATTTATGCCTTGGACTATATCTTATTCCTTGCTCCCCTCCTGCGCCGCTAAAAACATATGGTTGTTTCTGCTTGTTTTTCCCATTCAAAACTCACAGGCTTAACTTTCCTGTTTCCTGAGCTACTTTTTAGATGCATGAGGAACAAATAGTACCAGAGCCAAGAAAACTAAGCTTGATTGACTCACTGGTTGGTTGATTGATTGATTGACTTATTGACTGCTGGGGGAGAGAACTGTAGTTAGAACCTGGGATTTTCAGAAACTGTAGTGCTGGCCTCAGTCTGCCTTCCCTAATGTTTGGACATCTGCAAATCCCACCCTGGCTGTTTGATGCTCTTTGGTTACCAGGTTGTTCAGCTCAAGCACGTGGCACATAGTGGGAGGAAGGCTCTTCATGTTAAACACTTCAGTGAGCAGGTCTACATGTTCATTTATGCACCTGTAATGACAGGTACTAACTTAATGCGCTGTAATTGGTGCTACTGTGCATTAGCACAGATGAACATTTTTTTTTTTGCAATGCTACTGCACATTAGACTAAATCTGCACATGAGCGCATTAGCATAGGCTTTGCCCGCTGCGGTAATGCACAGTAGAATTAGTCTTCTATGCATGAAGCGTCTAATGTAGACACGTACCCACTGTCACCTGCTCCTATAAAATGCTAAGAGCTCTTCCTTTTCGCACTCTGGGTCCTCCTGGAGACTTCCAACAAAACCAGATATCCTTAAACCTTAAAAATACAAAGCAGGAAAAAACTCACTTGGTTTTGGAACCCCCTATTTTGGTCTTGGGCGGATCTGTTATCTCGGTGCAAATCTAGATCTTTTCCTTTGGCAGTTTGCTTTAGAAAAGCAAGTGTAAGAATGGTGTTGTACCTGTGATGGTTCAGAAATTATGCCGGAGGCAAGGATTTCTTAGGGTGGTATCTTTTATCCAAACGACATAGTTGGTCCAATAAAGTTAGCGAAGCTTTCAAATACAAGGCGTTCCTCATCAGGTCTTTGATCACAGGAAGCCAAGCACAGCCAGGCACATCTGGACTAACTACATAGCTGGTCCAATAAAAGATTTCACTCTAAGAAATCCTTGCCTCTCTGGACAGTCAGTCTCCCAGGAGATGTTAGTTGAGTGCAGCCTCTGCTTCTGTCTGACATGCCACCTTTTCTTCCACAAGATGCTGTGTAGGATTTGTATCTCTTCAGGTCTGGCTGTATCCCTTTCAGATGCTCTGCTTTGGGTTGGGAAGCCGATCAATTGGCCAGTCAACTATTGTCCATTGACTGGTCAATTAACTGCATATTTCTGACTGGTCAAAGATTATAGCAATTTTACAAAAAGAAACCCTATTTTTTTTGTAGTTTTCTTGATAGAAATCTGATTTTTTTTTAAAAATTGGTTTTAACACATTGCTTAATGGAAAATTTGTGTTTTTCTGTGTATTCTTTGGACCTATTGGCAATTTTTTATAATTTTTGACCAATATTTGACTGGTCAGTTGACCAACCTTTGACTGGTCAAATACCCACCCCTAGCTCTGGGTCCAGTTGTGCATATTACTTCCCTGAACACATTTGGACCTGCCCCCATCCCCAAAATTACAGCCGAGCCCCAGACATGGGCGCAGGAACTGTGCCACACCTTTTCCTTGGCTGGGCCATTCTCCAATTGCTGTGGCCTGGGGTATAATTGCATTTGGAGCTGTTTGCTGCAATTGAACATTTGATGCAGATTGCATGCACATTGCTGGTGCTGCAGTGCGCCAGGATCCCAAGGCCACAGATCATGTGCGTGGATGCTGGGATCTCCTCTCTGGCTACCTGCTCTTGCTGGGGATGGGAGTATGATACTCAGCTGCCTCCTGTCTTGCCATTTGGCAGGATGTGAGTGCTAAGAAGAGCCTACAGTTCCCTGAACTCTACAGAATGGGCCAGAGGGATGAGTTCTTCAACTACCGGGTCTTCTGCTTGACTCTTCTCCATGGCACAGCCACCTCCCTGGGGAGCTTCTACATCGCCCTGTGGGCCTTTGAGGACAAAGTTGGGAGCAAAGTTGTGGGTGATTATGAGTCCTTTGCTGTGACAGTGGCCACCTCTGCTTTACTGTCGGTCATCATTGAGGTGAGCTGGGTCCTTCTAACTTGCCAAAGGGGGCGGGAATGCCCATGTGTATAGTGCTGCAGGAAAGGATGGTATAAGTTGGGCCCACTTCACTTTCTTCAGGGGCAAAGCCTCAGCAAATACAGGACCTTGAGTGGCGCCTTTTGAGCTAGTGTGAAAGTTGCTGGGCTGAACAGAACCCCAGCTTCTAGGTATAACAGGGCTAAATGGATATAACTGTACTGGAGGCAGTGGGCTTGCACCAGGGTGAATGTGACCCATTCTGGTCTGGCCACTAGTGGCTGTGTACTTTTGAGTGCACATGGCTTGTGCCTGCAGGAACTGAGCTTCAGGGGCCCAATTGGCCTAGCGAGAGCCGTTTAACTGAAGATAATGGTGCTGCCCTTGGTGCCGGTGTTGTGGGGCACCCATTTCTCATTGGCTTTTGCACAGTGTTCGTGTTACCACCAAATGGACTGGCCTGTTTTGCAGCAGTGGGTGAGTTTTTCCCTGGGACCTCAGCATTGACCTACCTGCTCCCTTTGAAATCAGTAGCAAATGTCATGAGAACATAGAGACCAGAGCCAAGCCCCGAGGCGAAAAATCTCACTTGCTGGGTTGTAGGCTAGACAGGACTCTTCTATGTTCACTACCTGCCTCCAGCCTTGGTCGAGCAGGATGGTGAGTCCAAGCTGCTGGTTCCAGCCCAGGAAAACATGCCACAAAGCTGCCTGGGACCTCAGAAAGCTTCATGCTCTGCTTCTTCTTGGACAGGTCATCCTGGACATTAAGTTCTGGACAGTCCTGTCATTCCTGACTGTTGCAGGCAGCCTGCTGCTCTTCTGTGTCTTTTCCTACCTAACGCAGAACTTCCAGGCCTTCAAGGAGGCCCCGTCCATCTTCCGCTTTCCAGGTAACGAGCTCTGAGGTTATTCCACAATGGAGGAGCTCTTCCCCGTTGCTGCCCCATTTACACTGAGCTGCTGTCTTCCCTCTGGTGCAGTCAAGGCTATGGGAACCCTGTGCAGCAGTAGAAAATTCCCCAGGGCTATAATAAATATTATGGGGGAAGTTCCCACTCAGTATAATCTGGTGGACCTGGATCAAAGTCCCTCTGGCCTTGGCCTGCAACTCCTAGCTCAGTCCTTGAGTCACTGATGCAGCCCTCCCCTGTTCATCCTATGAGTTATGCTGGGGATGTATGATTTGTGGGGAGGGCAGACATGGCACGTGAGCCAGGATATCACCGGGTGCTGCAGTTAGCCTGGGACGAGGTCTCTGACACGTGGAGGGGCCCTGTGTCATTGCTCCCTTGCCTTTGTCTGTTCTTTTGCCCCGTGTGAATGACCTGTGGTGTGACTTCTCTCTGGGCAGATGCCAGCAAGAATGCGCTGACCGATCCATATGTCCTGCTTATTATCCTGCTCTCTGTGGTAGCGAACACCATCCCCTCCCTCACCTTCCGCTTCGTTCGTGTGATCATGGGCAAGAGCACCATTCATCAGGTGAGTGCTGCTCTGGCAGGCAGGCTGGGAAACCCTCCTGAGCCTATGGTCTCTGTTGTAAGGACCTGTTGTCAGGCATCTCAGCACATGCACCAGTCGGCATTGGAACAGGTACACAATGTGGGCTTCTCTGAAGCATCATCAGTCAGCATCTGAGGCCCAGGTCTGGACTGGAGGCTAGTCGCATGCATATCCTGTGGTCACTAGGAAGTGACCCTGTGTTTTCCTGCATTGCCAGTATAATGCACCAGAGGTCTTCAGCAGGACTGTGTATCTTCATCTGAGGGCTTTTTTTGTTTGACTGTTTCAGGAACACCAGGTGTCCCCAGAGCAGATGTAGTAGCCATGTCCACATGGCAGATGTATTGTTCTGGGCAACTTTGACTTCAGACACAGCGTGATGGGGTGGGCTAATTGCTAGTGCCCATCACCCAGCAGTGCTAATTTGTACACCACAGCACTATGCAGGAATGGCTGCTCTGCTTCCTAATCAAGAGCGAGCCTTTGTGGAGCATGGAAACATTGCCATGAGAACATGGCCAGTGAATCTATTTCATCCCTGAAATACCTGGGAAACAGGAATATCCACCCTTCAGTCATTGCCTCATTGCCAGGGGCAGGTCGTCTTCCCTATTTTAATCCACAGCAGCACGGGTCCCAATTCAGTGTCATGGCCAACGTTCCAGAGCCTGATTACTGGATGGTGCCACCCTGGAACAGCTATCCTTGCAGGGGTCTTGACACTGTTTGTGCTGGTGGTCTCAGTGGCAGAGAGCAGTGGTGCAGGGAATGAAAGTGCATGCCTCTGTAAGGTGTTTTAATTTCCAAAGTGTCCAAAAATGGGGCCCAGTCCAGTGACCCAGACTTACTAAGCTCCCCCTGAGGTCAGTGTGAGGTTTGCTTAGGTCAGGAGCCCAGGAATGCAGCTGTCATGTACGCAGGAGCAGCATTTTGGGGTAACTTCTTCCTCTCACCAGAACTACAGGGGACAGTCATTATGCAGGCCTCCCGGGCAGGAGGAGAACTGAGCTGGTCCTGCTGGGGCTTGAACTCCTGGCACGGGGTGTCTAATTGGTAGTAACTTGCTGCTGAGCCCAGCAAACCATTCCCTTATGGATTCAGCTGTTCTGCAGCTGGCAAAGGAATGGGCTGCAGGCAGGTGTCTGCAGCCACTGGGAGGCAAGGCACTAGCCCCACCTGTTGATGTTAGGGGACGTCTGGACTCAAGTGCAGATGTCAGCTCCTCCACTGTTAGCCCATTTGCTTCTGTGCAGCTTAGCTAAGCTGGCCCAGGGAGTCTCTGAGATCACACAGTGGTCCCTGCTTAATTCTCTCTAGAATCAGTAGGGGAATGAGGACCCGGTTTCGGGGGGAGTCTTTTCTATGTATGACAGTAGCACCAGGAGATCCCAGTTATGATCAGAGGCCTATCATGTTGGGATCTGCATGTGTGCACCGTGAGAGTCCCTGCCCCAAAGAGCCAGTAGGCTGCTACTACTGCACCTTGTCATGATGTGGCAGGCAACTGATAATAGCTAGTTGGCATGGAGCAAATGGCTTTCCTGGGATAAGACTGCAGACACATGGCACTTACACCAATGTGGTTGTACCTTTGACTCTTTCAGGGGTAAATCTGCAGTGGATTGAGCAAAATTCCCCAGGGGAAGGGGAACTGTCTGTCCACTTCTTTATTCCAGTGTAAAGAGCAGCTACATTGGTGTCACACACAAGGTGTTGTGTCCCTGGGCTGGGGCCAAGGTGGGCACTGAAGCCCCTGTCTCAGTTTGGGGCCTTAACCACCAGGACAGCTTCCAGCTCTCAAGCCTGGGGGCTGTCCCTGTGTGCTCTGAGGCCTTCTGGCTGATCTTCGGATGAGATCCAGTGGGGGTCCTGAAGTTTCTCCTCTTTATCCCTCTTTCCTCCTCTTGCATCAGATTCGCATGAAGGATATGCGGCTGGAAAGGGACATGGTAGAACTGCGCGCACACTTCCAGAGGGGCTCCATGCAGCGGCGGTCCAGCTATGCCTTCTCCCACAAGGAGGGCTACGCTGACCTCATCACGCGGGGAGCCAGCCTGCGGGGGAGAGACTCCCTGGGCCTCAGTACCACACCTGTACCTGCCTTCAGAAGCAGTTCGTCTCCCAGACTGGAAGCACATAAAACCAGAGTTGAATTTCTGGCTTAAAGGAGTTTAGTTTTTACTCTGCTTTTATATTTGGGAGACCTTTTCCCAGCTGGGTCTGGAATGCTTTTGACTTCATGCAAGTCAGGTACTGAACTAACTGGATGGCTCCTTTAAGAGTCATGTTTTTAGCATGTTTTTGGATGCCAGAGAAGTGCTCATTCACCTGCTTTTCCATAGAGTGACAATGACACCTGGGGATGACCTGTGTGAGCAGCAGGTGGGAAGTGTCCATGGATATTTCCTTGGAGGCCTTATTTCTGCTTCCAAGATGCGGTAAGGAGATGGCACCATTCACTCACTCCAATGGCTGCTTTGTCAGTGAGGAATAAAGGTTCTTGTGGGGATCAGTTCCATCTTTCATATACTGAACTCAGACTCCCTGACTTGATGAATGCGAACAAAAGCAAATGGCGGGTGGCTTCTTTTGCTCCTGGAGCTCAGCTGCCTTACCCTGTCGGTCCTCACTGAAACACTCTCTGCACTGCAGTAATGTTGCACCACTGCTCCCTGCTGAGTGGACTGAACACCTCACCTGTGTGTCACAGGCTCTGTATTGCTAGCAAGGGCTCACTGAACTTAAGCTGTGGCTCCAGGTATGAATTCAAGCAGCAAGCAGATGCAGCCACGTGAATTGACCCAGGCTTGTTACATTCCATTCCATCTTCTGAATTAATAAAATATCCCGAAGTAATGAGAGCTTTGGGTTTGAGTTTTTGATGCAGGTCCCTTTGGGCTGTCTGGAGAACAAGGGCCTTTTGTGTAGTGCAAGCCAACAAAACTTTGGTAAAGTGGGGAGAATGATGTACTTGGAGAAAGCAAAGTCATCACAATGAGTCACAGAGTGGGAAAGGGCAAGCTCACCTGTGCCCCACATCTGGATGGAGTCAGCTGCAGCTTCCTCCACTTGTTTGACCCTGTCTCCCTCTCTCAGCTACTGCTCCCCTCTTACACTTCCTTGTTAGCAGCTGTGGTAGCAGGCACCCACCTGGTCTTGATAAGATGCAAGATGGGGGGCATTTTCTCTGGACCCTGTTGCTTGCCGCCAAATACCTCCTCAAAAATCTCTCCTCACTGGCACCTTGAGCTAATCCCACTCCCTCTCCTTGTTGTTTGCACCAGGCATCTCTCATCCTAAAATGGAAGACTTTCAAGGCAGGGAGGAGAGGTCCAGATAGGGCCAGCTCAGAGATATCCAAAAGGGCCTGAGGAATTGTGCAGAGGAATCCTCTGAGCTGAGGGAACTCAGGGCTAGTTTCCAAGTGATGTAAAAATCCAGGTCCTTCATTTGAAGAGAGCTTGAGAGCCACTCAGAAGGTAGTGTGCAGTTACTGCTCCAAGCCTCTCACCCTGAACTATATTCCTGCTGTGTCTACTGAATGAAACAATGGTTGAGTTGCATTTGAATGTGAGATCTCTGAGCAAGACATGCACTTTCCTCCAATTCAGTTTCAGCTTGAGTCGGGGGAATGAAAATACCATTCCTCCCCCCGAGCTGTGGGAATGAACAATCTCTTGACACTTTGTACACAAGCTGTGGGCTGTTGTCCACCTGATCTCCTTTTGCACATTCAGCTGCCTGCTCCCCATGTTCTTCTTTCTTCAGCCATGCAAGAGGTGAAGCGTTCCACCCTAGAGGTGGCTGCACCAGAGCCTAGGAATTTCCAGTGTGTTATGTAGACTTGAATGCCTTAATTGTGCAAATCTGCCTCCTGGCTTCAGGTTTAATAAGGTGCTTCAGGATGGAAAACACTAGATAAAGAGAGGTTGTGATTTTTACGATAAAAGGCACTGGTCTTGCTCAGAGTGCAGGAACAAACCATCCCGATGTGCAAGAAGACTAGCAAGTATGGCAGAAGACCAGCTTGGCTTAGCAGTTTCATAGTTTCATAGTTTCTAGGGTCGGAAGGGACCTGAGCAGATCATCTAGTCCGACCCCCTGCCATGGCAGGAAGAGCACTGGGGTCAAATGACCCCAGTAAGGTGGTCATCCAACCTCCTCTTAAAAACCCCCAGGGTGGGAGCCTGCACCACCTCACTTGGAAGCTGGTTCCAGACCCTAGCCGCCCTGACCGTGAAGTAGCGCCTCCTGATGTCCAACTTAAACCTTCCCTCCGCCAGCTTGTGACCGTTGTTCCTGGTCACTCCTTGCGGCGCTCGGGGGAACAGGGACTCCCCCAGCGCCTGCTGATCCCCCCTAACCAGTTTATAACAGGCCACAAGATCCCCCCTCAGCCTTCTCTTTTGAAGGCTGAACAGGTTCAGGTCCCGCAACCTTTCCTCATAGGACCTACCCTGCTGTCCCTTGATCATACGAGTGGCCCTCCTCTGGACCCTCTCCATGCTGTCCACATCCCTCTTAAAGTGCGGCGCCCAGAACTGGACGCAGTACTCCAGCTGCGGCCTGACCAGTGCCGCATAGAGGGGGAGGATCACCTCCTTGGACCTGCTCGAGATGCATCTGTGGATGCACGACAAGGTGCAGTTGGCCTTCCTAGCCGCCTCCCCACATTGCCGACCCATGTTCATCTTGGAGTCAATAATGACTCCCAGATCCTTTTCCACCTCCGTGCTGACAAGAGGGGAGTTCCCCAGCCTGTATGTGTGGTGCCTATTGTTCCTCCCCAGGTGCATCACCTTACACTTGTCTGTGTTAAACCCCATCCTATTCTCCTCCGCCCATCTCTGTAACCTATCTAGGTCTAACTGTAGCCTGTTGCTCCCCTCAATTGTGCCCACATCCCCCCACATCTTAGTGTCATCAGCAAACTTGAACAGGTTGCTTTGCACCCCCTCGTCCAAATCACTGATGAAACTCTTCAGTGAACTAAATCACAAAAAGGATGCTTATAAGAAGCGGAAATTTGGACAAATAACTATTTTTCTATGATCCCAGGAGCAAACGGACCGAAGATCTTCTGAGAGAAGCCATGAGGAAGTTCAGGTGTTTGCTTTCCCCACCCCCCCAAATCTCCCATGCTAACTTTAGGAAGGACTTTTTGGCTTCTGTTTTGTAATCAGAAATTTTAGCCTCAATCTAGGCCCAAATTGTCTTTCCACCAGCTCCCCTGCACTTTCCTCCCCCTTCCATGCCATTTGCCCATGAGTAACTGCATTAGTCGGGCAGCAGCGTGAAGCACTGCTGCAGGATGTATTGCTCTCGGGCAGAGTGGGAATCAGCAGAAGAGTTTAATTCCCTGCACCTCTGTGTGTTCCTGAGGCTGGGCACCCATGCGTGGGTTTCCTGGCAAAGCCACTGCTTAAAGATTCATAGATGTTCAGATCCTTTGACTGCAGGGTTGAGCTGCTGCAGGAAACCGGATGG